GGGGAATCCAGGAATGTGACGTGACGTTCGTTACCGGGTCGCGCGTCTCACCTGTCTAGAGGCCGGGAGAGGGGGCGGCGGAGAGGGGAAGATGCAAGTCCTAGAGGGAGGCAGGTGCCTAGGGCTGCTAGAGTGGATCGCACCGACGCCACGTCGACCGACTGAAAAATTTACTCCCCTTAATTGCGAAACGGTGCGCGGCTGGCAGGCAGCACGGTGGGGCGTGTGGGGGCGGAGCGGCGGCGGGGAGGCTGGGGCAGGATGGGATAAACCATGCAGTCCCCTGCGCGTCCACCGACCGCTCGCCGCAGCTCGGACTACTTGGACTACTGTATACCGAAAGCAATACAAGAGGGATCTGGGCAGGCTGCTGCTACACTGCGAGACGGCCTCGACGACGATCCACTCGAGTGCAGTCCAGGGAGGACTCTGAGGGCAGGTACGGCCGCAGCAGTGCACAGTGGGCCAGAAGACCGGTGGAGGCGGTCAAAACTCCAGACGCGTTTTGAGCTCCAGAGTCGCTAAATGGGACTCGAACAGAACGTGTGACCCCACCAATGGATTGCTCTCCGAACGAGGAATCCATTGGTGGGGTCACACGTTCGGTTCGAGGCCTGTTTAGCGACTCTGGAGCTCAAAACGCGTCTAGAGTTTTGGCCGCCTCCACCGGTCTTCTGGCCCACTGTGCAGCGCGCGGCACGGCGCAGCATGGCGTGGCACGGCGCAGCATTCCGGCGGCCAGGGCGGCCGGGGCTCGCAGGGCTCGGAGGCCCGCGGGGAGGAATGCGCCGGACAGCGCGGTCAGGGGCCGACCGCCGTCCTGTGTTCCCTGCGGTGGCGCGGCGCGGTGGCGGGGCGGGGCGCCGTGGGCGGGGCGCAGCGCGGAAGGGACGGCCCCGCGCACAGTTGAAAAAACGTTCGGCAGCGCGGGAAAAAAAGTGGAAATCGAGCAAAGCTTGCGGGCGGAGGTGGACTCATTAAATTTATTTTCCACGAGGTGGAGGTGGACGCGGACACCAGGTTTGAAAGGGGGAAACTTTATCAAAGCGCGGTGACGCGCTGCGCATTGCCGGGGATTCAAGAGTTTGATTCCTCTGTTGATCCGCTGCTACAGTGCATTGTTTGCTTTTGTTCGAGAACCCAGTTTCCGCTGCAGTAAACTGCCGATGCACAGCAGAGCATCCAAGTGGCAACTCGAAAAGAGAGACTGGGATTCTCCGGCCGGCTGGCTGGGAATGAGTCCACAACTGTGCAAATGTGCGCTCGCCTCAGGCTTGAATGCGTGCTCCGAGCGAGCGAGCGAGCGAGCGCACTGCGCGAGGAGAAACTTGAGTGGAACCAAACGCAAAAAAAAGGGGAAGATGAAAAATGCCACCACTCAAAGCCCTGAAACGACGACGACACAGCAGGAGTTGCGGCTGGGCGGGGGAGGGACGGAGCGCAGAGCGCCGCGCCAGACAACGGGCCAAACAGCGAACTGCGTTTCATATCGAGCACGCCTCTCGACGGCACTGAATCCAGCGAGGCCGGCGAAGCGGGCCGAGCCAGCCAAGCCGCCAGACAAAAGGAGGCACCCCCCAAAAAATGACAGCGGGCCTCCATCTCAACGCTGGGCAAACTTAATACGAACTAAATTTGTTTACATTGCGAATCTTTTTCCGACTCTCATTGTAAGATACAAAGGGGAAAGTAATGCATTGCGAAGAGAAAGGTGTGTTTATACTACGTTTCCACGAAAGCCTTCATATTGGGAATGGGGTCAATTTTGTTGGTACTGTAAAACGTTTCGAGTGTCGGCAAGCGGCCGAGAGAGAAGGAGAAGAGAACTTCGCGCGAGAAGCGCCTAAACGGCGCGAGCGGCAAGGCACGCTCGCAACATCACACCAATTACGAACAGTGCTCCGTCACTGTCTCTCTCGCACCTGCACTGCAAGTCCTACGACTGCGAGAGAGACGGACACGTTTTGCCAGCATCGATCACGGTGCCGTCGCGGCGCGTCGCGGCCCGAGCATCGCGCCTGCTTGCCAAGCAGTGTCTTCTCTTTGAGGCTCGCCTAACGTGATTAGCAATGGAGGGGACTCGAACCGCACGGAAAAAAAGGATTAGTTGTAACAACTAACATGTTGGTTGGAATGCGTCCAAGGAAGATTTTAGTTGCTGCGGCTAAAAGTTTGCTGCAGGAGCAATAATATTAGTTTGAGCAACTAACAAATTAAAGTTGGTACAAGGATAAAGTTGATTGTGCCTACGATATGTTAGTTGTGATGACTAACACGAGCGTCACGAGAGAAAATAAGCTTCGTATAAGAAAAACCTTCAGCGGGTATCGATCGCGGAATCTGTGATCTGAGAGCTGCTGAGGCTATCCACTCCGCTGTGGTGAGCTGATAGCGGGAGAATGCCCAATGACGCTGATACAGCAAACTGACCGATGCTAGGACAAGCGACGATTAAATCATCGCCCGAAAGTCGGGTCTCCTAAGAATGTCCGCAGCGCAGTGGGCAGCGTCTCTGATTGACAAACGACAGGTCCTGAGTTCGATTCCCGCCGCAGACTTTTTTCTGTGCGTGGTTTATTTTCTTCCGTGACGCTCGTGTTAATCCTCACAACTAACATAGTGTAGGAATAATCAACTTTATCCTTGAGCCAACTGTAGTTTTTTAGTCGTTTCAACTTATAAATTCGTTCGAGCAGCAAACTTTTAGTCGTGAAAACTAAAATCTTCTTTGGACGCTTTTCAACTAACATGTTAGTTGTCACAACTAATCCTTTTTTTCCGTGCGGGTCCATCGAAAAGGAAACAGAAACTAGCAAATGGCGCGCACTGTTAAAAAAATCAGTTGTAATTTTCATAACATTGGTTGGCATTTTTTTTCACAAACAATTGTTATGAAAATTAAAAGCACGAATGATTGTAAATTGTTTTACAATCACGATATGAAAATTCATATCATGTTATGATAATTAATATTCGCGTTTGCGAGGTCATTTTAGGGCAGTTAAACAAAAGGACAACTAATTGTTCATGTATATGAACACCGATGCGGCCTTATGCCATTTATTGAACCGATTCTACTTTTGATCAGCGGGTTTCGAACCCGGGATCTTTGACTTGTGGTGCACGCTCTTTACCGCTGTGCTACCACGTCCCACGGGAGGCGGAGGGTCAGCTACCTGATGACTCTACCAGCGCCCCTTGGCCACGCCTCTTGAGCTAGTTATGAAATTTACAATCGGATTCGGAAAATTACTATTGTGAGCTCAAAATCAACACTTAAGATTCGCAATTTTCAGAACACGGTTTGAAAATTACCAACAATTGTCAATTTTACGAAATTGTTTCGAATTTTCGCATCAAGTTATGAAAATTGCAATGTTTGTAAAATTCATATCCGTGTTCGGAAAATTGTCATCAAAATTGCTTTGAAAATTCATAACTTTTTTAACAGTGCGGGCAATGGGGGCAACAAGTGCGGCTGGCGTGGAGTGGGACGGTGCGGCCACTCCAACGCTCCTCTTTGTACCTCCGGTGCAACCGATCGCGCGGCCAGACTGGAGAGATTGCCTCGGAACCAAATTACCGGTCGCACTGCTTTTGCGCCTCGCCGTCCGCCCGTCAGTGTGGCGCGCAAGCTCTTTCATTTTTAATCTGTGCCGAACGCAGCAGCGCCACGACACCGGCGGGGGCTGTCAAGGCCGTCCGCCAATGGTCGCGTTTTTCCATCACCGCCGCCGCTACCTCTGCCCCCCCCCCCCCCCCCCCCGGGCGAGACGCGGCCTGCATTTTTGCTGCGCAAAGCCGTCGTAAAAGCTCAAACTCGGTCACACTGTCACACGCCATTCAAGGGCCGCCCCCCTCCATCCAACAAGGCGGTCAAAATTTGATGATACGAGGCATCACACGTCTGGGCCGAGGTGCGCCTCCACGACGGCAAATTTGCTCTCCTCCGCCGCGGGTTCCCTGCCACGTCTATGCTCCCCGCCCCCTCCCTCATGCCTTATCTGCGTTACGGCCGCGCCGAGGCCCGCGCCGAGGCCCGCGCCGAGGGCACTTGGACCAGCCGCGTCGCCGCGTCGTCAGGTCTCGTTTTGCCGCGCGGCCTCACTGCGCTGGCAGCCTACTTGTGGGCGAACTTCCTCCAAGACAGCGCGACGAAGCGTCGGAGGAGCCCCCCGCTTTTGCGCAGCAGTCAAAGCCGTTTCAACAGAGTTGCCGCCGCGTTGGCCCATCGCGGACGAGCGACACGAGTAGAAGAGACAAGGGAGGAAAAAAAACACACGACGCGGAGCCAATTCGTGCACCTGTCCATGAAAACAATGGTTCGCAAATAAAGGCGGTACGTGACCAAACCTGGCCATCGGCATTCTGCGCATGACACGGCCCGCCCCGCCCCGCCCCGCCCCGCCACGCCACGCCCCGCCACGCCCTGCCACACGGACACGGTGACGCGCCTTGTCACGCATCAGCCTGCCACGCGCACGGCCGGCGAAAGCGCTGACAGAATTCGGCAAAAGCGAGCAAAAGAGACGGAGGCACCGCTGCACGAGCGGCGCTCGGCCTCCGCGCTCGGCCTTCGCTCCGACCTCGAACGCGACCTCGAACGGAGGAGAAACAACGTGCCAACTCAATGAAAAATTCGTCAATCAACTTTCAACTGGCCATATTTTTTTTTTTTGGGGGGGGGGGCGAAAGCTTTCTCAATTGTTGGAGCAGCCAGGATGTCTCGAAAACAACGTCAAACTCATCAGCGGATCATCATCAGTTTTCGGCTGTGTGGCCAGCGAGAATCTCAGTTGACTCGACACTGTGTCTTTCTCCTCGCGACCGCTCGCGAGTACCCGACGAGAGGGGTCCGTTTGCACTCCTCAAATCGCGGCGCGAGGAAGTAACGCGAGGATGTAAAAGAGCTCGCGCGACGACAGAAGGATGAAGGTGAGCGTGTAGGAGGGGGGGGGGGAAGGCGCGCGGCGGGGGAGCCAAGAAGCGGCCGGACTCACCTGTGCGTACGTGCGAAGAGGGTGGTGTCGACGTGGCCGTCGACGTTACGCTCTGTGCGGCGTCGTCCTCCTCCTCCGGCTCTGGCGGCGGAGGCTGCTGCTCCTGCGCCCAGTTGGACGTGGGCTCGCAGCCCTCGGCCGTGCGTCCGGCCCCGCGGCAGCAAGACCAGCGGCGGCCCGTCCACAGGCCCGCGTGGAAGCGGCCGGACAGCGACGGGTTGTCGGCGCACGCTGGAAACGGACAAGAGGGGTCACTTCCTGCACTCCAGAAACATCACAAACCGTTTTAGGGCCTCACAAACAAAAGAAGCTTGTTTTGAGCATACGCAAGCTTACAAAGGAAAAAAATTCGTAATGAACGAAACTATTTCTTCGCATTACGAACTAAATAGTTTGCACCTTGCATAGGGTCTGCCCAAAATACTTCGCAAGGTTTTAAGCGTGTGCCCGACGAAGGCCGTGGCGCGCCGCGCAGACCGTTCGCTGGGTCTCCTCGCCGCGAACACTACCCCCCCCCCCTCGGCGCATTTTTCGCGAGCAACGCCTACAGGCGACGGGCGGTCCGACTTGAACCGCAGTGCGCCGACTCGCAGTGCACCGCACACCTCCCCGACGGCGGTGCCCTGGCAGTGCCCTGGCAGGGCCCTGGCAGGGCCCTGGCCCGGCCCTGGCCCAAAGTTTCTCGCAGGCGGACGTCAAGACGGCGAAACGAACCCGAATCGATCGCTCGAACGTCAAGACGGGGGTGTGCCGCTTCTTCCTGGGCGTGTGCGAGGGTACAGCCCACCGGCGTCGCGGCCAGGCGCAAGGCCTGGGGCCCCGGGCCGGGGAGGGGAGGGGGCGAGGGGGACGACAAACAATCAGCACCAGCCATTCAGCGCGCGCCCCGAATTAGGAATGCAATTTCTAGGACCGGAGCCCCCCCCCCCCACCTTTTCCTTCCCGGCCCCCTGCTCCACATAGGCCATGGCAATGATACGTCGTCCCATTTGCGTGCAAATTCGCCAGCCAGCTGGCGGCAGACTAGGAAAGAAAGACGTGCAAACTCCTCGCTGCCACGGCGGCGGTGCCCCGGCAGTGCCCCGGCAAAGTTAAACCACATTCGGACCCCGGCACGACGCGCACGCCGGAAGCAGGCGCACCCGGGCAATGCTTTGATTTCGCACATGGGCGCCGCCGCCATGGATCTTATTCAGGTCATATCCATGCAAAAGGACCACAGTGTCGCCCCACAAAGTTTACCTGCGGGAAAACGAGAATACTGGGATGGAATTTTTCAGAGGGCAAACAAATAAAAGGTTGGCGGATATAGGCGAGACTAGAAGCGCCAAAGCCACATTTCGCCAAGTTTGGGCCGGCCGCGCCGTGTGCAGCGCGCGTGCCGCAACAAAAACAACTCTATAAAAGTCAAATAAATGGCGGCCCGGCCGAGTATTCGGAAAGAAGAAACTGTCGTCAAGATGCGGCCCGAGGCGCGGGGAAGTTGTAGCGGTGGGCTCTGGGAGAGGTGAGCCGATACCCCATATTCTCTCTCTCTCTCTCTCTCTCTCTCTCTCTCTCTCTCTCTCTCTCTCTCTAAGATCATCGTCATCATCATCGTCGTCTAACATCCGCTAGGAGGACTTTCATCCTTGGCCGCATTTCGCCCGATTTCCGGCGGGCAACCGAAAGGCAGCACCACTCCACTGGCGCCTCATTTATGAATGAAAGGGAGGGAGGGAGACACACTGAGCGAGCAGGCTCTTACACTCACCATCGCGCCGAGCGCTCAACCGAGGCAGACCAAAACCGAGGCCGCAACGGACCGCCAGGGACCACACGGGCCTCCATGGCATGGCCCCGTTCCCATGGCAAGGGCATCCAAATAAACCACTGTGCAGGACAAGCGTTTTCGCGCTATTTTTGGGTACCGCCAGCATCGCGTCTAAACCAAGGAACGTAATGAAAAAAATTCTTGAGGAATAAGGGGCCGAACTATTTCGGGTATTGCTTGAACACACCGGTACGAAGTTACTGAACTCGTAAGTTCCGACTGACAAGTGCTGATAGGCACTAGCAGCAGTTCCACATTGTTGTTCAACGTCAGGTCAGAATGTGAATCTACTCACGCTCATTTGCACACGACAACGTGACACGGCCCTTCCCTTCAATTAGGACGCGAAATTGAAAATTTACGTTCACTCGTACGTATGGACGTGGACCAAACATTTCAACGAATGTGACATCATGTTGAAAGGAACGTGACAAAATCCACCATAGGCGCCGGGGCTGCCCGGTGCCGGGCGCTGCCACGCGCCACGAACTTGACATTCTGAAGCTCTTTCGCGGCGCCAAGAGGTAATTCAGATTCCAATAACGAATGGAATGAAGCGAATGGACAGATTCCAGGGCGGATTCAATCCAATAAATGAGATGATATCACGGTTGGGGTGTTGTCACGCGGCAAGGTATGCCGAGGCAAACAAACAATTCAATAAGGGAATCACGGTCGGAATTCAAATAAAAAGGAGCAGCATGGAGACAATGCGTGCCTCGCGCCGAACGCGGGCTTCATCCACACTGCCCGGGATCGTCTGCCCCCGGAACAACATTTCGTTTCTTATTTTATTATTTTATAATAAAATCCTCTCGTCGTTTATTATTTTGCCCAGGCGGCCAGGCAAAGTGCGTCTGTGCATTTGATGAAACGAGATTTTCCCAAATGAGAAAGTTGGGCGGCCCATTCAGAGCGTCCCAGCGCGATCATCGCCTTCCACAAAAAGCATGAAGCGAAAGCGCGCATCCGGACGAAAAGGCAAAATACGCGAAAATATGCCGCTGCTCTCAGGTTCACTGTAGAATAATGTCTTTAGAAGAGGATTTGAAACGAAACATCGGTTCCACCGTGTCGCAAACTCAAGTGAAACCTGATAAAACAGAACAATGCCATTAACCCGCTGAGAGTTCCTTGTGTGCATGTCCAGCCCGTTGCGCAACAAGGGAAACACAACGCGAAAATTAGGTCGACGCGCTCAAATAAAATGTTAAACAAACGGCGCGACGCACGCTGGTGCGGTCTCGCTCCCCGCCGCAGGCCGTGGGTGGTCTGGCGGTCACCAGAAGGGTGCGGCACGGCGCGGCAGGGTCACGCGGCAGGGTCATTCCGAGCGTCGCGTCTCTCTCGCACTCGTGGATGCGAGCGTGGATGCGAGCGAGACGGACCGGCGCCCCCTGGTCCGGGGCCGCGGCGTCGCCTGCACTACACTACGGCCGGGCACGGCCAGGCATGCCTCGCAGCGCGCCGGGCATTATGTGCGCCGCCCTCTATTATGCATGTCAGTGGGGCGGCCGAGTAATGAGTTCTCGCAAACCGCATTACAGTGTACCACACTGCTTTCCCGAAAACACTCCGTGAGTGACGTCTGCGTCCGCCCTAGCTGCGCGCAGCGAGGCCCGCAGCCCGCACCCTGGCGCGAGCGGCTGCCTGGCTGCCCCCAGACGACGGCACCATCAGCTGCACAACAGACCGCGCCAGCTGGCATTTTCTCAGCAGAACAAACATTGGGTTAATCCGCTGGGTCGATACGAGAAAATATTAGTCCGAAAGCGCACGCTTTCCGCCCCCCGTTTGGCGGCGGGGTTTCGGCGCGCAAGCTGTGCCCCTAAATGATGGTCACCAGGAGAGCGACAGGGACGCCGGCGTGCCCTACATGCCGGGACGAGAGGGCAGCGCTCCGAGCCAAACAATGGCGACCCGACCCAGCGACCGCAGCGACCCAGCGCACGTCCGCCAGCAACGCCAGCAACGCCAGCAACGCCAGCAACGCCAGCAACGCCAGCAACGCAAGCAACGCAAGCAACGCAAGCAACGCCAGCAACGCAAGCAACGCCAACAACGCCAGCAACGCAAGCAACGCCAGCAACGCCAGCAACGCAAGCAACGCCAGCAACGCCAGCAACGCCAGCAACGCCAACAACGCCAGCAACGCAAGCAACGCCAGCAACGCAAGCAACGCCAGCAACGCAAGCAACGCCAGCAACGCCAGCAACGCCAACAACGCCAGCAACGCCAGCAACGCCAGCAACGCAAGCAACGCCAGCAACGCAAGCAACGCAAGCAACGCCAGCAACGCAAGCAACGCCAGCAACGCAAGCAACGCCAGCAACGCCAGCAACGCCAGCAACGCCAGCAACGCCAGCAACGCCAGCAACGCCAGCAACGCCAGCAACGCCAGCATCCCCCTATCTCGCGGCACTACCTGAACCAGACCACAAACACAACAAAACACTCGCCTTGTATCTCACTGCGCGCGCGCGCACACACACACACACACACACACACACACACACACACACACACACACACACACGAGGAGGGGAATCAATCTTGGTTAGGTTTAGCCGGCGTCGTGTGCTTCGCAGACTCTGTATCGGCATGCATCGTCACGACCGGCAAGTTATACGCGCAGAGCGCTGCGGGCTGCGGGGCGGAGGGGGAGGCTGGGATAGGGAGGCTCCCTGCCAGGGCCAGTCGGATTCGCCCAAGCGGCGTGGCGCGGCGTGGCACGGCGTGGCACGGCGTGGCGCGGGGTGGGGCGGCATGGCGGGGCGTGGCGTGGCGCGGCATGGCGCGGCGTGGCGCACCCTGTCCCCCGTGTCGGGCCGCCGCGCGGGCTTTAGCTGCTCAGACAAATTGGCCATTACGGGCCTCGGAAGCGGTGGAAAATACAGAGCCCTGCTCGCTGCACATTCCGTTCGGGCCTACTCCGTCCGCTGGGAGCGGGGCGAGCGGGCCGAGCGAGGGGGAGACCGTCGTCAAAGGGCGCGCTGGAATCACTCGGCCCGCCCCGAGGCTCGGCCCGTTCGCGGAGTAGGCCCACCGCCGATTCCTCCCTTGTTTGCCTGTTCCCTCAGATCGTTCTGCCTGTTCCGTTTCCAGGCACCCCTCTTCCGTGCCAGATGTACCTGGCACTAACCCGGAAATGGCAATCACCGCGGAGTGCGACCGCCAGCCAGGCCGGATTGTGGAAGAATTACGCCGAGCGAAAATGATTGACCGACATCGTGTCAGCACTGTCGATGGTGAAACGACTCCGCAGTAAAAAGAAGGCCTACGTAGAACACCGGACTGAAATGAAGAAATGCAGAGACCGACTTCAGGGCCCCCGGGTGCCCGCCTCAAAGAGGCGCGCCCTCGAGCCCCGGTCGTGATCCGAACGGCGGAGCACTGTCAAACTAAAGTTTCATCGAAC